TGTGATATCAAGTACCAAGTATTCATGATAATCTTAGCGCTAGAAAGGATTAGAGATAAAAAATGAGAAAAACACACACACATACGCATATATATATAAACATAAAACATTAGGCAGCATATGATTTACATACAAAGAATAATCACACATAGAATTAATCAGAAGTATCAATGCGATTATTGGCGACATCCATCGCTAGAAAACATAATATATGCATTAAAATCCTGTTCATCCATAGTGCGAGTTTTGATCCTTGAAGAAAAACTTGTTGTCTGTAGTTTTCAGTTTATTTGATGTTAAAATGCTAGTATTTACGGACAGTCTTCCATCCATCATCAGGCATGTTTTTTTTCCTTATAAAATCAAAAAACTTGAGACGATATACCTGTATGTCGACCGAAAGATGTTTTTTGAATATCTGCTATTATTGACGGTTGTAAGATATCGGAACGTGCAAAGACGCAACGCTAAGTTTTTCAAAATTTTTTAAGTGAGAATTTTATTTAAATATTTCTTGTGATGTGTTAAATCCACGTATTCTATTTTTACAAGTGTATTCAGTTTTTATGTCATGAACTAAGTATATAGTTCAATAATATAGTGTAATGTCATAGTAGTAATTTTTTTTATAAAAATTTTTTTATAAAAATGCGGATATATATATTTTAATAAACATAAAATTCTTTTATAGCATATGATTTACATACAAAGAATAATCAAATAATATGGATGATATATATTTTAATGCATATATTATGACATCTAGCGATGGATGTCGCCAATAATCGCATTATATTTTGATTAAATATATATGATTAATTCTTTATATATATATATATATATATATATATATATATTTTATCTGTGTGTTGTGTGTGTGTGTGTGTGTGTGTGTGAAATGTATTTTATATAAAAAAAAAAATGGCATACTATGATGGAATAATGCCGCTCCAGACATAATGAAATCTTACCTTCAAAAGTTTATCAAAAAAAAAACATCATATTGTTATTAAGAAGAAAGACTAAAGTATTTTTATTTATTTTTTTTATCCTCTTTAGAATATTTGATTTTTTTTAAAGAATATTCTTGTTTTTCTTTCGTCAAAGAATGGACTAAAAATTAGCAGAGCAAATTTTGGCCTCTGTTTTGCAATGAAAGACACATTGATTTGGAAATTTTCGCAAAAATCAAATAATTGTCGGATTTTAATTAAACTTTCAGGACTTATTCAGAAATGAATTAAATTATTTTAGAAATGTTTTTGGTTTTAGAAACTTGGGGCGAAAATTATCGAACTCCAAGTTGGGAACACTCACATTGCGAGACACGGATCAGTCGTGGCCAAATCACGATCCTAAACTCTTAAATGTCATAGGTCTTAATTCAACGACGACCTCGACTTATGCAGGGTGTATCAAAAAACTTTTTTTAAAAATTTTGATGACCCGATTCCTAAATCTAAAAATTTTGTGGCCCGATTCCTAAATCTAAAAATTTTGTGGAGCGATTTCTTAAATCTAAAAATTTCCTATTCCCGATTCCTGAAAAATGAAAAAAAATTTTTGGCCAGATTTCTAAATCTAAAAAAAATTTTGCCCTGATTCCTAAATCTAAAAATTTTGTGGCCTGATTGATAAATCTAAAACTAAAACAAACGTGACAAACATGTTTTTTTTCCTATTTTGAAGCTTAAATAAGCATGGAATAATACAACACAAAATGTACGTTAACAAAATGTATTGAAACAAAAGAAAGGTTACAATATTTACAGTTAGTTTTGGTATATTCTTGGGAAGACTGTTCCTGCATAATGGGTTTGACTAAATCGCAGTCGGGCAGAGTCTCTGGATTCAATTTCTTAATCTCTACTATCTTCCCCGTCTTCCGGTACCAACCCATATTTATATGGTCGGTAGTCCGCTTATGTAAATTAGGTGTATCATACACAACATTTATTAAGTTTAAAGCTTAAAGGTGAAATTAAATATTTGATCAAAATAACATTCATACAAATTTAGTTTATATTTGAACCCAGAGACGAAAATGAATAATAAAGTTTTAGAAACGATTTCAGGCTTGGAACCGAATCCACCTATCCATCTAAATAAAAAAGCATGATGTCAGTTTTCAGTGTGTTTCGAACAATATATAAAAAATGTGCTGGTGCCGTCAATCATGCAAAAACCACATGCATCTTCGTACAAACAGTAATACATTCTCTAGCAGGTCAAAAATATTCGAAATAAATTTAAATATAGAATTCAGTTCCCGTAAGACGTACTGGGAGAACATATGGACCTACCAGAAAAGTCATCTATAACAAAGTCCTCAATTAAAATTAAACTATAAATGCTGGTGTCTAGCCTGTATTTATAAAAATAAATTATAATTTCCGATGTTGATACAAATGTTGGTTGCGTAAATTTGTTATTCCATCTCTTCTATCAAATTTGCCTGATTCTGTGAAACAACAGATAATGGTATTGATAAATTAATCATCGGCAAAATTTATCCCGTAAGGGTGAGTGATCAAAGGCCGAAAAACCCGGCACACGTTGCAAATGATAAGGATACAGGGGCTGTACTTGAAGTACCCTCCGTGAGGTACTATGAGATGTACGATATGCTAGGGTCACTTGATGTGTGCTGATATATCTCCGACAGCCTGTGGAATGTGTTCAGCCTGTGGAATATGATCAGGCGTACGAGAGGTTCTCGGTCTTCCTCGATCTTTAGTTTGGGGTGCCACGGATCCTGTCTCAGCAACGCGATGATAAACAGCTGGATGACTCGGCTGCCTTAGGTCTGGAAACACAGTCTGATAGAGTCGTACAGCCTCGCGTCCATTGCCCTTCGCGCGACCGTATGTAAAAATTGTGCCTGCTCACGATATGAATATCCTGCCATTGTTAAACGGAACACTTCTCAGTTAATTCACTGCTACACATGTTAAATGCCTATGACAGACGAGCCACAAATATACACGAATGACAAATGTAACCTAGTCTACATGGTAACACAGCGACATCTACCGTAAACTTACTTTAAACTTAATAACTCAAAAACGAAAGATTTGCGTACGTAAGTTTATATAGACTATTGTCTTTGTTTAGAGTGAGGAACCCTCCCCTAAATTTTGTAAAAATATTTTAGATACACCCTGTATATATGGATCTATGATCGTGTAGTTAGAATATTTTCTTTCTGGCCATGAGAACAGGGTTCGAATCATCATGTTTGATTAATCAGAACAAACTCTTGAATGTTATAAAGTTAAAAATTCAATAAGTTTATTCAATACTCCAGATTTGTGAGTGAAATTGGGTAGACGGAAGCGTCGTCGTGGGGAACGGTTTTATCACACCGTCGTTTTTCATAAAACTGTTGATCACGCCAAATTATGCACGCTCTTCCAGGAATTGTAACTAACACCCTTCATATGCATTTCATTATTCATTTTATATGCATTACATAAGCATTTCCGTTATGGGACCTTACCCATAATAACATAATGGACTATTCCATACGTAATAAATACTGCGCCTCAAGAGGAAGCAGAGAGTTCAGTCTGAAGTCTGGAGTGAGGTCCGTCAGAAGTCCGTCAGGAGTCTGTCAGTCAGTCAGAGCGAGCGAGTCAGTCGAGTCAAGAGTCGAGTCAGAGGCAGTCCGAAACACAGTCGCGTTCAGACAATTATTACAAGACATTGGAATAGTGATACTGGTCGAGACTACATTGTTCTCCCTACTAAACCTGATTGTTCGTACTAACACTTTCTACTTCTCTATATATATTCCTGTTTGTAATACATCTGTGTTATTCCATATCCGTGTTCGAGATCTTCTTTATTGGTTCTACCTTGTACTATCACCGTGGTACAAGGAACCGGACCATAACAATTTCATTATTCATTTTATTTTATATGCATTACATAAGCATTTCATTATTCATTTTATATGCATTTCATATGCATTTCATTATGTGGTCTCTCCCAGAAAATGAACTAAAGTCGACCGTTCATAGTTGCAGTATAAACCACAGGTATTGAACAAACAGAAATATGCCTATTAATTTGCAAACAAGATTAGCTAAAATTTCTTATAGAAGAATTGTATTGGGATCGGTTTTTTTAAATTTGGCCATTATATACATGAAAATATTCAAAGAGGAAAATATAGATAAAAGAAAAAAAAAAGAAAATAATTTTATGTAGATATAATAGTGTGTGTATGTATGTGTGTGTGTGTGTGTGTGTGTGTCTGTGTGTGTGTGAAATATGTGTGTGTGTAAAACAGTAAGTTTGTGTGTGCGTATTTGAGATATATAAATATTTGTCTTATAAATTTTTAAATACACCATTACTCAACATTAGGCAAAGAATACAGTAATGTTTTAGAACATAATCAAATATAATACATAAAAAAGACACCATTTAGAATTTTTTTGAAGTATTATATTAAAATTTTTGTTTTTAATGCGTCTTTTTTTTTAAATAAAATTTTTTTTTTTTTTTTATTTGCGTCAGTTATTTGTATTTCATCCAAAATGCAAGGCTATTTTAGCTTTTCTTTCGCTTAAATTTTTGATAAAAAAATAGTTTTTTGACCAGTTGAACGTCATGACCTCTAAAGTTTAAAAATATCTTCATTTTTTTTCTTTCCTTTAAATTTTAATATCTTACGACCTCATCTTTTTATCGCTTAGTCGTGTCTTTTTCTTTTGAAAATGATTTTTTTTCTTTCTTTGTCTGGCTTAAGCTTTTTTATTATTATTTACTTGTCGATTAGAAGAAATAAAGAAATGGCATCAAAAAATAAAAAAAATAAAAATATTTTAACGAAAAATAAGTAGAAATTATCAGACATGAAAAAGAAAGAAAGAAAGAAAAAAGAAAAAAAAAAAGAAAAGAATAAACCAAACTTTAAATAAAAGGATTAGAATCATGGGAATTGATAACAAAGCATTTGAAAAAAAAAAAAAATACAAAAAGAAATTTTTGAATTAAAAAAAAAAGAAAGAAAGAAAGAAATACAAAAAGAAAGAATTAATACCGAATTTTAATGTGGACATTAACTGGTCAAAGCGTTTTTTTTGAATATTATATATTTGTTCTTTATATTCATCTATATTTGGGCATAAGAAAGAAAGAAAGAAAGAAAGAAAGAAAGAAAGAAAGAAAGAAAGAAAGAAAGGAAGGCTGGAAAGAAGGAAGAAACAATTAATTCGTTTTATAAGAAAGAAAGAAAAAATAAAAGAAAGAAAGAAAGAAACAAACAAACAAACAAACAAACAAACAAACAAACAAACAAAGGGTCCAGAATCACAGAAAGTGTCACTAGAGAAAGCATTTAAAAGAAAGAAAGAAAGAAAGAAAGAAAGAATGAAAGATAGAAAGAAAGAAAGAAATAAGGATGATGTGAAAGTAAACAATAGAAATAAAGAGAAAAAATTGAGCTAATGAGAAATAAATAAATAAAGAAATGATGAAACAAAAATGTGAAAGAAAGATGAAAAAAAGAAAGAAAAAGAGCGAAATTGCAAAGGAAAAATGAAACAGAGAAAATGTTAAAGAAAAATTAAACAACAAAATAAAGATGTGATAGAAAAAAAATACGAATTTAAAAAAATTACCCCCCAAGCAAGGAAAAGAAATTTTAAAAAGCAAGGGATTACAGAGTGTTAGAGAATTTGAGGAAAAAAAAACTCTAGTAAGGACAGAGAACAATAAAAGAACAAGATTTAAGAAGACAGAAAATAACGATTGAAACTGCATTTACATTTTTGAAGATCAAAAGTGACTGGAAAGCAAGAAGCCGGAAGAGACTTCTACAAGCGAGAAGTGCAATAGAAGAAACTGTTAGCATAGAACTTACGGTTAAGTCTAGCTATTTCTACTGAAAAATGACGGGACGTCACCACTAATCCAGTACTTAAATTATTAAAGTCTAGGTACCATAGAGCAAAATTCATCAGAACAATTACCACGAAAGTATTTATCGAAAATATACACGGAAGACACGTTACGGCGCTGGGAAAGTTACTGAAGCCGAGATACCAGCCCAGGAACAATATCATTGCAGATTCTTCTTTGGATTTTATATAAAAAAAATCTCTCTAAATATATAGCCGAAGCACCAGACCAGATATAGAAGCAATATTTAAATCAAAGACGAATGGTAGACATATAAATACGTAAGATAGATTTTAGCGAGAACAATTATCTAGCACGATACAGTGAACCAAATTTCTTAGCAGCTGACTTAGCAGTTGATTCAATATAATCTTTCCATTTCATGTCAACATGAGTCCGAGAAGGCGTAACGACTCTGCCCACTGGAGGGTAGTGCAAAAGTATGGCACAAGGCACAAAAGGAATTGAACGGTGTAGGAAGAGTTTGTAAACGTCTAGGTCATAACCAGAATGAGGAGCATGAAACAGTCAATAAGGACTGAACTCTCTACGGTAGTAATAAGGTTGGGAGGCTTAATTGCTAGCCTGTAAACTACGGCGAAGTGTGTATGAATATCGTCTTTGTTTACATAACTTTAACTTTCTGAAGAAGGCCGGAGCGTATAACGGCCGAAACGTTGTGATAAATATGGCGACACAGATGAGGACAATAGTCCGAATAATGTAAATAATTTAACTTTCTTGGCTTTTTATGAGTATTTTTTTTCACTTATTTAAAGCATTTAATTTCTTATTTCCCGTATTCCTTTCTTATTCTTTTTTCTATCTTCATTTACCTTTCTTTTATTCTTTCCTTAATTTCTTTTTCTTTCTTTCTTTTTCTCGTGCTTCTTCCATTTCTTTCTGTCTTTTTCTTCCATTTTTGTTTATATTTTCATCTCTTTATTTCTTTACTATAGCTCAACGTCTTTCTTTTTTCTTCCTTAGTTATTTAGTTCTTCTTTTTTTTTTCTTTTTCTTATTCCGTTATTTTTGTATTTTCTTTCTTTCTTTTTTTAATTGTTGTTGGTTTTCCTCTTTTCTTCCTTTTACTTCATTCTCTTTCTTTTTATTGATTTCTTTCTTTCTTTCTTTCTTTCTTTCTTTCTTAATTGTTCGTTTCTACCTTGTTTCTTCCTTTTATTTCCTTTTCTTTTTATTGATTTTTTACATTTTCTTACTTCATTTCTTTCTTTCTTTTCTTACTTTATTTTTTACTTATTTTCCCTTCCTTCCTTATTTCCTTCCTTTTATATTTATTTCTTTTTCTCATGTTTCCTTCACTGCATTTTTATTTTAACTTTTTATCGTGTTAATTCCATTATTTCTGTAGAATTTCTTCATGCCTTTTTTATTTCCTTCGTTATTTAGTTCTTCATTTTTCTTTCTTATTTTCCTTTTCTCGCCGTTGCTTTTCTCTTTTCTTTCTTTCTTTTTCTTTCAACCATTATTTTTTTTATTGCTTTCTCTTTTTATTTCTTTTTCATTTCTGTCCTTCTTCTTCGTTAATTCATTTCTTACTTCCTCGTTTTCTTTTTTTCTTTTGCGTCTTTCATTTCTTACTTTCTTTTTTACTTCATGTCTTTATTCTTTTCCTTTCTTTATTTCTTCGCTTTTCTTCGTTTCCTTATTTCTTTCTTTCTTTAATTGGTTCTTCATTTTTCTTTATGCTTTTTTACTTTTTCGTTCTGATTTTTTCTATTTTCTTCCTTTCTTTCTTTCTTTCTTTCTTACTTAATTTCTTGTTTTTCTTTCTTTACCGTCCATATTTTATCTTCCTTTTTCTTTCAATCATCGTTTCTTTTTTTTTCTTCCTTTCTTTCTTTAATTATTTTTTTCGTTTTTTCCTTTATTTTTTTTATTATCACATTTTCCCCATCCTGTTCTCTTTCTATTCTTTCTTTTGAATGTCTTTCTTACTTGTTTCGTTACTTCATTTCTTTTCTTTTCCTTTTACTTCCTTCATTTCTTTCTTCCTTTTTCAATCTTTCCTTTTCTTTCTTTCTTTCTTTCTTTCTTTCTTCGTCATTTTTTCTTCTTTTCTTTTCCATCCCCTTTTATTTCTTCAAAATGTTTCAGCTTCTCTCTTTCTCTCCCCATCTCAGCCTTTCTCATTTCCTCCATGCTTCACCTCTCGCCACGCCAGTCTTTCGTCTTTAACAATCTTGATCGTACATCTTTAACCAATCTATCTGACAACCGTTTGGCCTCTGCCATGTCTTCTCATAAATTTATAACACAGCCTTTTTCGCTATTATTCTCCGTATTCTTATCAGAGGAAGGGGAAATTTAGGGAACAAAATAACACTAGCTTGGTAGATTTATTTTTGGGGAACACCCAATAAGCATTTATAGATGCTGTCCCGAAATGAATATATCGGACAAGTGTTATGTCCCAACCTAACGTAAACACTCTACCAGAAAATACATCACCACTCCTCATCCTTCTAATTTGCAGCTACGATATCAGTAAAGTGTGCATCTTATTCAGGCAGATATAGGAAGAGTAAAAAAAATTACCACATCGCGAATTCTGTCCTCAAAACAAGAGTATCAATGTTAAAGAAAATACGTATATTTTTTAACCACCCCCCAAGTTTCTTGTATTTATTATCATTTCCTTAGATTCCTGCTGTATACTCATTTCCTTCCGGGTCCCAACCAAAGACCTAAGTTCAGAAATGGAATCATGACATTTTCCACTGATTATTTTTGTAACAAAATAAAAGCCTATGATCTCACACATTTTACATAGATAAAGCTCTTCTTAATGTGTGAGCTGTACTTGTGGATACAATGTTTTTTTTTGTATTTCATCAATGTATAGTCTATCAGGAATCCCTTCAATAAGTCTGTCGAAACATTTTTATTTTGACAGTTTTTTGAAGATCGTTAAAGATACACTAGAGTCTGCAGGAAGTTCCATGTCAATGAGAAAGCACATTATGTTTTTGTGGTCTTTGAGCATTATTATTATTATTATTATTATTATTATTATTTGTAGCAGTAGTAATCGTTGTTGAAACTCTGGAAACTATCCCGAAATTCCATCGAAAAAAGGTTGGAAACAACTGAAAAACGGAAGACGGTTTTTCACCAATTCAAGACGACACGCCGTTGAAAACAATTAGAATACTAAGTAAAGTGCTGGAGTATTGAGGAGAGTTACTGTTACATGGTTTTCTGTACAACCCACCAGTTACGACCTAAAAGCTTTACTAACAGAGCATCACCTGTAATTTCATGCAATGATTTTCTCCTTGATAAACGTGTATAAAGTTGTCATGAAAAGTAAGGTTAGTTAGGGTTAGTATATTTATACCCAAGCGTCATTTTGTTGACGTGTTGCTCTCTCATCCATTATTAATAATAATAATAATAATAATTACTATTATTATTATTATTATTAGAGACCGCAAACAAAAAAAATGTGCCTTCTTATTGATATGGCAGTGCCTGCAGACTGTAATGTATCTTTGAAGATATTCAAAAAGCTGTCAAAATACAAGAACCTTGAAATCGAAATCTCAAAAATGCGGTACATGGGAACATTAATAATCCCTGTTGTAGTTAGAGCCCTTGGATTGGTTGGAAAAGATTCCAGTAGACGAATTGAAGGGATTCCTGGAAATCCATGCTGTAAAGAAATACAAAAATTGTTTTCACAGGTACAACCCACACATTACGAAGGTCTTTATCTATGGAAAATAGGTTTGATTTTTTTTCTAGTGGAAAATGTCATGATGCCATTTCTAACCATAGATTCCTGGGCGGGATCCGGAAAGAAATGTGGAAATCAAAGGAAATAAAGTAATAATAATAATAATAATAATAATAATAATAATAATAATAATAATATTCAGTATGTGCCAATAACATGCAACATGATACATGATGATCAGTTGTTTCTGGATATCATTCACAGAATCTGTAATATCATTATTATTATTATTATTATTTCAAATAAGCAATGTAATAAAGCCACTAAGACACGGAAGGGGGTTACATAGTGTGAAGAATAAAAGGAAAGAAGAAACATTATTAAGGAGCGAGAACAAGAAAAGAACACAAATCAAAAAAGACAAAAACTCTTCTATATAAATCCAACAGGTTTTTCTTTCTTTCTTTCTTTCTTTCTTTCTTTCTTTCTTTCATTTCTCTGGGTCTTTAATCTGTCTATCAATCTATCTGTCTACCTACCATTTCTTTTTATTCTATTTATCATTTCTCTAGCCCTTTATTTTATCTATCTATCTATCTATCTATCTATCTATCTATCTATCTATCTATCTATCTCTTGCTTTCTATTCTATATATTCTTATATATATATATATATATATATATATATATATAACATATTTAAAGTGTTAATGAATAAATATTTAGATTGTTACTGAATACATTATTTAGAGTGTTACTGAATACAGTATTTAGTGTTGCTGAATACAGTATTTAGAGTGTTACTGAATACAGTATTTAGTGTTGCTGAATACATTATTTAGAGTGTTACTGAATACAGTATTTAGTGTTGCTGAATACAGTATTTAGAGTGTTACTGAATATAGTGTGTGATGTGAAGGTATGAGTAGGTTGAAGGAAATTAAAGTCATGGCGATAAAAACGATAGAAAGCGATTAACCTTTGTCTTGAACAGGTTAACATTGGGATGATCAGTGAATTATCCCAGCATGAGTTGCCTCCAGACAATATTAAAAAAGTATTACTGGAACTCACTTTTTGGGCTAACTAACAGCTGCCTCGTCGCGTTCACTTGGATTACTTCGATGCTTTGAAATATTTTACCTTTCAAGTTGGATTTGATATTTGAAGAGAAAAAAAGATCCGGTGAATATGGTGGATGTCGTACGTGTCGAATGTTATTCTTGGCCAAAAACTGCTTCACAAGTCTTGGCCACTGATGGAAACTCTGTGGTATATTAAGACAACCACATTCTACACACTTTCCTTCCAAGTACTGCCATAAACAAAGGTAGTGAGCGAAAACGTTGTGACTTCGTGTGTATGCGCGATGGAGTTCAAGGTTAATCTTTACCAAGCAGCTCCAGTCTGCATAGTTTAGCTCCGTTACCATCGCAACAGTTCCGATACCGTTTGATTAGACCTCGTATACTTTCAAATCAGTATGAATTCTTCGTCGCATGCCTACGGAAAAGAAGTTTGTGAATACGCCTTATCTCTTACCTATAGACAGAAATTTACATACAATATTTCTGTTGTAGCATACCTACAGACGATAATGGGTATGTCTCCATTCACATAAATACAGTAGTTAATACTGTATGTTAGTCTGCAGATGGAGATTCGTCTCCAGCTGTGCTGGTCAGGTTCTCTGCCGCCGGGCTGAGAGGATCCCAGACGAGGCTATGTCGAAGGGCAGCGTCTCGTCTCGAGATACAGCTACCCGATCCCGTTTTATACGGGGACTACGGGAAATTTTTGGTCGCGCCTACAAGTTCGGATACTCCCTTAGCCTTGTGCCACATCTGACTGCGTGGGGCCGTTGGTAGATATTCTGTAGTTGGGGATTCATTGGAAAATTCACTTGACTCACTTCTCGCAGTTGACTACTTCTTCGCGCCGCTGGTGAATTTTATATGTGTTGTTCTTGTCCTAAGTATTATTGTTCATTACCAAATTTCCTTTGATTAGTCCATTCAGTAACGTTCCTTAGGCCACAACAATTTCTTTAATGACATATCACATTCGAACGTAAGCGATCATGATTCTTCAAAGATGCCTTTATTTATTATTTGTTAATTTCCACGCGATTTGGCTTAAGATAATGTATAGGATTCACGTTGCCTTCTCCATGGATTTGAATTTAGAATTGTCCTACTACTAAACTAGCTGTCACCCAAGGCTAGAGAGCACAGTCTACTCTGTTATTTATCTAATATCTGGTGATAGAATTGTCGAAATCCTGCCTTTTTCAAGGTAATTAGTGCGAAAGTGAACACAGCAGATACGATCAACAGAAAAACGTTTTAAGTCTTAAAACAATGTAATTACAGCCTAGAGAAGAGAATAGTAATAATCATATTTTATAGCATTATAAGCTCTTAAACATAATACCAAAACTCACAAATCATTACTAAGCGAACTACAATCGCAACATGACACTAAAATCCAATAACATAAAACCAATACTTTTAACATAAATTTTAACCTGAAACAATAATGTTTACAATTAGGGAATGTTGCTTATATATAAACATCTAGTAATATAATAAAACAAAAACAAGCAAATAATATGAACAAATTCATGACTAACAAAATTTCGCCTTGAACACTAAACAGGGTAAAGCAGATAACCACATTCTTTGGCTTAAATCGCCAGCGATCTGGCTATAGAGCCCACTAAAAGAGAAATAGCACATGGTTTGATTATTGCTTTAGCTGTGAAATTGTCAATCATGATACAGTGTTAACTTCTATGTTCACGCTGTTAATCTCTCCCTCTCTCCCCTTCTCTCTCTCTCTGTATATATATATATATATATATATATATATATATATATGGGTGTGTGTGTGTGTGTGTGTGTGTGTGTGTGTGTGTGTGTGTGTGTGTGTACCGGGTTTAACAGCAAAATTGTCCAAATCATGCCAACTTATCCATTTGGTAGATTAAGTTTGTATCGTTATGGCTTAGAAATGATTAAAGATACCTTACTGGAATTCCCCCAGGCTTTTATAACACTACAGGGATCTACTTTAAGCAATACTCCAAGCCTAGTAGAAGAACCGTGATGAAATCGATCATAAAAAGAAAATGATATGTTCATCATTAATTAATCAAAGGTAAGGACTGAAAGTCCATAAATGATTGAAATAAAATTCATATATATATATATATATATATATATATATATATTTCAGGATCTTTTTCCAACTTATTCAAGATGATCCTCGCCCTCTCTAACCTTGTAACTCTCTCTCATGGAGTAACAAGGTGCCTCACACCTTTCACGTAGGATTTCATTTTCGAAACTTTTTTCACTGCTCTTTGGACTGTCATAGGTGAAACTTCTATCTTGTGTGCCAAACGTCTTATGGATTGAGTTGGATCTTTTCTAATTGATCCCTTTAGCACAAAGTTGAAATGATGATCCCTCTTCCTGTTGTGACCTCCTGATCCAGTTTTCATCTCTACTGTTCCCAACTTATTCACAGATCTGGTGATGTCTCTTGAATGGAATTTGAAGATGGAAACCAGAGTATGAATGTTAGCCTGAATGATCTTTTTCCTCTCAACATTGCTCATTTTGGATACAGTGGGGCTGACACAAAACGATTTTAACTTGTTTTCTTTCTACCTGAATAATTCAAAACAAAAAACGAAAAAAATGGTATCAAGATGGCTAAACGTCTTATCTGAAAACCTGGAAAAAAGAAATTCAATTAGATTAGTGTTTTTTTTAGATAGTAAACATTTTGTGGGTTGGACAATTATGCTGTTACACGATTTGGCCAATTTTGCTCTTACATCCGGTATATTATCATTTGAAACGTCATTTCTACTGGATACTCGTATTTGAGTAGACGATCCTTTTATTTATTAAACAGTATATTTATTTATTTATTTTCGTCAAAGCGGTCTGAATGCTCGAGAAATTTTATTAAAGAAAAGGTTTTCACTCTCTGAAACATTTAACCTAATAAGAATATATATATATATATATATATATATATATATATATATATATATATATATATATATTACAGGATTAGCAGGGGATAAATTTAACAAAAAACTGAAAAAAAAACTGAAAATTAGATCTCAAAGTCAATGTAAAAATTATGGAATCAGTTTTCAAATTTATAATTTGAGAAACTTTTTAACGAATACCAAATATTTGTGCTGCAGCAATCAAAGCTAAAGGATGATATTTAATCATAAAATGCTTTTTTTTCCTTTTCTCATCATAAAATTTCTAATAAAATATCATGTCTTACTTTTTTTTAACTATGTATAATAATTTTCACTTATTTAAAGTAAAAAAAAAAACTACTTTTGGGGACAATTTAAAAAATACCAGACGACACCTCAAAATTTTGATATACAAATTTTTGTATATATATATATATATATATATATATATATATATATATTGGTTATGCGTCCTCAACAGGAATTTCCAATATTCTACACGGAAAAAAGTCCTTTGACCTGACGTGCTATACTATTTAATGTTACAGAGGAAGCGTGGAACAAAGCAAGGTCGAATTTCTGATTTTAACCAGACGCTTCCCCTGTAGCTAAATGGTATAGCACGTCAGGCTATATGACGGTTCCGTGTCGGATACAGTTTTAATTCTTGTCGGAGGACGCATATTTTCTATGAAATTTCTCGGACATTCAAGCCGGTAAATCTTGTTAGTACTGTTTGTTATAAACAGAGCATTTACTTAAATATCTGTCTTTAAAAATAACGTATAAACAATAAATATCATACCAAATTGTAATTGGTAGGGATTATTTCAAAGAGTACATTTAGTCCATATGAGAGCTTAATGTATGATACTGAACAAATTATAATAATTATGGAAAAACCTTAAAATTTATTGGTAGTAATGAAATTATTTCGATGAATTTTTGAAATGGGATCAATATATCCCAGGCAGACAGATATCCAAAGATTAAAATAATAAGAAATAGAAAAATAAAAAAGATACAAAAAACAATAGCAAAAATAAATTGACCTACAATATTTTTTTTTGTTTTGATGGGTTTACATTATGAAGAAAGAATAATAAAAAAGAGTCAATATAACAGGTAAAGAGATAGGAATATATATATATATATATATATATATATAGTTAAAAAAAAAAGTAAGTTTGGATTTAAGAGGTTAACATTCAGTAAATTGGGTTTTATCGACTGAAATTCCGTCGATAAGCAGTTGCGTAGATAATGATAATAAAAAGGAAAGGTCGAAGTCAAAGAGTGGGTCAGGAACCCTTAGAGCCGAGTGGCTATTATTCTATTTTGCGTCAGTAGTTAAAGTCATCTCTGCTCACCTGAATAATACCAATTGGCAACGCATTCATTGGTAAAGAACGATTTACCACGGCTTGTCATTGTCGGCTAGCAACAATAGGCACAAGGTAGTCGGATGGGCGGCTCTATTCAATATGAACATCTGGGCTATGTCGACGTATATAAGTCTACCTGCTAACACATATTAAAATATGCGTTTATCTGTGTATGCATTGATGAACTATTCTTTATATTCAGTATAAATGTTTAAGATACTCTTGTGCTTGCGTTTATGAGCGCGTGTGTCCACATTTATAAAGGATTAGCAATGATACCCGGCGTTGCGCGGGCCACGTCTCGTTCCATTGCGCCG